TGAAGGAGGAAGCATTAAAGAACTAGAGGAATGTTGTATGTTTCGTTGGTGCTATACTGCACCCTGGGTGACTGGTCCCTTCCTTGTGAAGGGATGTCCAATGAGACAAACATTTTCAGCATTCAACATATTTGCTTATATTGCAGAAGAAAAAGATATCGACTAATTACTTTATTAACTGTATTTAACAAATTATCAGTTTTATATGCCACATTTCTTGAAAGTCGCCTGTTTTTATTGTGGGTTTAAAAAATGCACTTTTATTGGCGAACTCAAAAATCCAAATTTCCTGCCATTGAGTCAATTCTGACTCATAGTGACCCTAGGACAGGGTAGAACTGCTCTTGTGGGACTCATAAGTGACCCTTATGAGGGTAGAACAGCCCCCTGTGGGTTTCTGAGATGAGCTTTTTATGGGAGCAGAAAGCCTTGTCTTTCTCCTATGGAGAGGCTGGTGGTTTCGACCTACTGAACTTGGGGTTAGCGTCCCAAGTGGATGACATCCACTATGCCATCCTTCACAAGCCCGAAATGATCATATAAAACATGCCTTCTGTATATGTCCTTTATTAAAAAAATATTAGTAATGGTTGCACAACTCAAAGAGTATACTCAATGGCACTGAATTACACATGTAGAAGTTTTGAATTGGAGAATGTTGTATATATTTTTTGCCACAATTAAAAAGAATTACACTAATAATGAGTACAAGGAAGCAGAAAAGATTCTAAAATTGATTGTGGTAATGTAATGATTGTACAACTCTTCTTGAAATGATCGAACTATCGAATTGTATGATACATCCACGAATTGCCAATAAAACTGTTTAAAACAAAAAGATACTTGGAATACCCACCAAATCCCCTCCATCAAGCATTTCCAATTCACCAGTGTTTATATCTAGTGATTTGACTTGGTTTGGGGATTATTAGTTCAGGCTGGAGTAATTAACTTTTAAAGGATTGCGCACTTTTAAAAGAAGGTGGCCAGTAAGCCAATGAATCTTGGAGGAGAGGATGGGACAGTAATTCCTGGACCACAGGCCTCTTCTGAGACTTTAAGACAGCAACTTTTTCTTATCCCTTAGTTTTTGTTTATCTTAAGAAAACATTCCCTTATGCTTTCCATTTTGATTTTCCTCCCATTTGACAGATGGAAAAATAGACTAAGCAAATGATTAAAAAACAGAGTGATTTGGTATTATCATACGAGGGGGCACTGGGAGGCAAGCAGGAAGAGAAGTTTGATAGTGACCTTGGTTTAGACGAGCTCAAAGTTGTTATTTTGGGATATACCAGTAAAGAAATCTTTAGAGAGTTGGATATGTGGGTTAAGACCAGAAGAGAGATTTAGGCTTGTGATACCAAAAACTAGTCTGAGGGTTAAGTTTTATCAGTGTGAGTTGAATCTTAAGTTCCTTTCCAAGAAAAAAGACCAAGGATTCTCATATTCCATTTAGTTACACTTATCAGTCATCTATTATCTGCCTGCAACGTGCAAAATACTGCGTTAGACATATTGTGGGGGTTTATGTGGGAGTTTGTTATAAATGAGTAAACCAGTCTACTTTTTAGAGTCTCATAACCACGGGGGAGACCAAGACAACTTTATTTTAAAGACACATCTTACTTATTTAGCAGTGCTATAATAGAAATACTACAAATAAGTGACTTTAACAAAGAGAAATTTGTTTTCTCACCATGTAGGAGGCTAAAAGTCCGAACTCAGGACACTGGCTCTAGGGCAATGCTTTCTCTCTATTGACTCTGGAGGAAGATCCTTGTCTTCTCCGAGCTTCTCATCCTGGTTGATCTTCATGTGGTTTGAAGAAGACATATCTTGAAGAAGTGTCTTTGGTGCCTTCATCTCTGCTTTCTCCATTGCTTGTCTAGTGTAGTCTAAGATCCAACCTACACTGATAAAGTTGCTTTAATATAATATAGAAAATGTATCCCCAAATTGGAGCACTGGTGCCATTGTGGTTATTTGTTTGCCTGCTTACCCCAAGTCAGCAGTTCGAGACCACCAGCCACCTTGTGGAAGAAAGATGAAGCTGTTTACTCCCATAAAGAGTTATGGTCTGAGAAATCCACAGGGGCCATTTGCTATGATTCAGAATGAACTCAACGACTAAGTTCAGTTAGGTCCATCCCAAATGGGAGAAGATAACTGATATAGAAGTTAGGATTTCTAGCACATATCTTGTTATTGTTAGAAGCTGTCCAGTTGGTTCTGACTCATGGCAACCCTATGTACAACAAAACAAGACGGCCTGGTCCTGCACCATCCTCACAGTTGTTCTGATGTCTGAGCCCAGTGTTGTAGCCATGCGTGTCAATCCATCTTGTCGAGGGTCTTCCTCTTTTTGGCTGATAACATGTTTTCTCCTGATAACATAGATATAATCTAGGGTAGCACAATTCATAACAGCACTTTTAAGTAAATCTTAGCTACATTATGAGAATGCAAGGAGAAAGGGGAGAGTCCTTTGGATTGTGAGGATCTGGGAAAATTTATGTGATTCTCAGGATTGATTGAACTCAATCAGATACTTGGAGGTAGAAGGATATTCTAGAAATTAAGTACTTTGAACTGAGACTTGGAAATAAAAGAGATGTTGTGTCTAATTTGAGAATAGATGCCAATCATATGTTTTGGGGGGCATGAGGTTGTACAGGTTGAGAAGATGTGCAGGTTGAAAAAGTAAGTGTGGCTCAAAGTCAATATTATTTTGTAAATTTTCAATATTTTAAGTTCAAGAATTTCTCTTTTTAAAATCTAGGTTGATATGCAATGAGATCTTAAAACATCATTGATAAATAAAACTTGATTGATAAAATAAAAGCTTCTAACTTAATCAATATGTAAATTAGTCTGCTCCCCAATGCAGTAGTTATAAAGGGTGACACTGTATTCACAATGATTGAAACTCTCATATCACTAGATTAGAAAGTCACAGGTGACTAACAGATGATTTCAGTTTCCTTTTACTGTTCGAGTCTAAAGGTTTACCTGCCCTTTAATTATGCTTGTTTTCAGTGAAGAGAGAAGATTCAAAGAATGAAGAATTTTCTGGAGGTGACTGAGTTCAGGAAGATTT